GATAATTTGGTATACCTTTAGGTTTTATTCTATAAGACTCCAAAGGTTCTTAAATATTTTTCCAAATGAATCATGAAATGCACATTTTAAGAGAAATAGCCCACTCTTTTTAGTCAGTTTCTGTAGTATAAATCTATTATTCTGTGTTTGAGGAAACTTCTAGAATAAAAGATTTTCCCATTTAAAAGTGCAAAAATATTAAAAGTTATGCATAATTTTAGATTATCAATTGTTTTCAATTATGTGTACCCTGTTACGAATTCAGTGTTTGTATCCATACAAAATTAACTTGTTGAAGCCTTTAACTCCCTAGTGTATATTTAGAGATAGGAAATAACTAAACTTAAATGAGGTCATCAGGGTGGAGCCCTGATCTGATAAGATTAGTTCACCTATAAGGAGAGACTCCAGAGAGCTATGTTTCTCTTATCTCATGCACTCACGGAAGTGGGAAGTGGCCATGAAGAGTCCTAACTGAAACTGAAAAGGTCAGGATCTTGATCTTTGACTTCTAGACTCTAAAATTGTGAAAAAATGTCATTTTACTGTTGTCACCCAGTCTGTGGTATTTTATTATGATAGCACTAGCTGATCAGTACAGTCTCCATTAAATTCCACTAGGTATAAAGCAATCACTGGCTTTGAGTTAGGAGTGATTCTAATCCTTCACCCCTCTTCCTACCCCCATCTGAGTGGAGTTGAGGGTGCTAAGGCGACCTAGAGTTTAAAAGCCAGGGATGCTGCTAAATATTCTGCACTGCATAGGGCAGTTCTCATAATAATATTTAACTAGCCCAAAATGTTAGAATAGTGCTGAGGTCAAGAGACTCTGAATATCTCTTTAGAATGCATGTGCTCTTTTAAACTGATACAGTCCCTTATGGGAACAAGTAAATTGCAAGGAAATACATATGTAAGAGCCACAGTATACTCTGTGTTAGATACATTAAGATATCCAGTGCTTTCAGAAGCCAGTAAACTGAGATTCCTAGAATTAATTGAAGTCATATCTACCTAAATGGAAACAAAATGAGTGTGTTTATGTGTCTGAATGTTTATCTGTATAAAATACAGTTACATTTTTAAAAATAGGTCACCTTATCAATGTGATAAATTTCCTTTCAGTAAATTTGACAATTTAAAAATAACTTACGTATAGTGTAATATTATAAAATAGTTTCATATGCTAATATTATATAAGATAATGTTTTATATTTATATATGCTGTGCTGTTACAATTTTAAAATAAATATTATGTATGGTAATATTGTAAAATAATATGATATGCTAATATATATGCTAATATTTTATATTTATACACACTAATATATGCTAATATAAAATAATACAATATATAATACCATTAAAATTAATAAATAGACCATATATTAGAGCCAGGAAAACTTTTTGATAGCAGGAAATGACAAAAACTACTGGGGGTTTTTTGGCAAAATTTTTATTATCTTTGCAGGAAAAATATTGGTGAGAATTTTCAATAGGAAATTACCAAATTCCCTAGCCAGATTTTTTTGGCCAATATCTGAGCAATGAATATTGCCAGAAAGTGCTTCAAAAACATTTGCATATCTCAGCTCTCCCAAAGGAAATACTGTTTTTTGTTTTAACAATTGAAATAAAGGGTTCTATTTTGAACAGCTTTAGTGAAAAACCAATAATGAGGATGAAAGTTGGAAAGGACTTACGAATACAAGCTGGTTCCACTATAATTTTTTCATTGCCCCTTTATTTCCAGAGTCTACCCAAAATATAACTTGATAATTTTAATCCTACCCCATAGTTACCATCTGGCAACATAATAATAAGTCTCTTTAGATTCTGACTTCATAAATCACAATATTCCCTTTATTTTAGGTAGAAGAAGTATAATTAAACATGGAAAAATTGCTTTCCTGGTTTCCAGATAAAAATGACTTATTTATCAAATTCAGCCAAGTTCTTCTAAGTAAGAAATTATTTTACTTTTTTTCATTAGGTAGTTCTTTGAAAATATTAAAACTAAATAGGAAATACTTTTCTCAGTCCTCTAAATTGCTATCTCTAGATTCATTCAGTTATATCCTTCTCAGGCTGGTTGTTAATTACCTAACTTCTACCATATTCTACAATTTATATTTTACTATTCACATCACATCATGTGTGAAGTTGGGCCATACTCTGGCTCAAGCAAGTATATCACCAGTGAGAGAAGTGCTATTGTTACTCTACTGAAAAGATACAGCCACACAGCCAAGTTTGATGGTACATGCTTATAATCCTGCCATTCCAGGAGGTTGAAGCATGTGGATTAGAAGCCTGAATCCACTTTGGGCAATTTAGTGACTGAACGCAAACCTGTCTCGCAATATAAAAATAAAATAAAAAAGACTGAGGATTAGCTCAGTGTGAGGTGTGGGACTGGGAACTTAGTCTGTGATGCACCCATATGGTGTTCACCTTATTTCTCAAAGGAAAGTGTGCTGCTGGTGGTTTTCTTCAGAACTTTGGGCAGTCCTCTAACATAAGATGCTCACTCTAACTTACTCTTCACCTTTTTATTTGTGAACCACAATCATTCAGCAGGACAGTCAGCATTAAGCAAGTTTTGAACTTCCTAAGAAGCAAAGTTTGTCTCATATCACTTGCAGAGGTTACTCTTGTTTTTTCCCTGTGTGTACAAATTTACATGGCTTTGCGCAATTGTGTTTTGTAGTATTTTCTGATATGCTAGAATCTCCTAGAATGCTTGTTAAAATACACCTTCCGGTCCCCAGGCCGAACCATACAGACTGGGAGAAGCTTGGTATTCTGAGTAGATTTAGTAAATACAGAATGCAAACCAAAGGTCTCCCCTATTAAAAGTTTCAGGTGCTCTGAGACAGAATGTATAGCAGACACATCCGATTACATTATTCCAATAGGGAGTGTTTGTAGGTCAGAGGGGTATCTGTGATATATATTCAAGGAAGGTGCTAGAAGGCAGTATGTAGGAAACACATTGTGGGTCTTCATAAGGCCTGGCTCAGGGTGCAGGGCTCTGTACTATGTGGTACTCTAGAAACTGACCTGAGTGAATTGAGTATAATGAAATCATCTGGGTGGATATAACCCCGTCTATCTGCAGTTAGGTATAGCCAGTTTAGAAAGAAGTATGATGTGGAGATCAGAATTTGTCTTACAGTTAAATTTTTCTTTATACTGGTACAGCAGACTTTCTCTAGAAGGCCTCAACCTCATGTCTCTGAAATCAGACCCTCTGTCATTCGTGAGCTTATTTATTTCAGCCTGTCAAATTCTGTTGTTTATCTTGTGATTCCAAGTTGTTTTGTACTGAGGTGATTTTAAGCTTATAATAATGTGCCTGTGAATTCAGTATATACCAAGCAATGTGATTTTATATGGAATAAGTCACATATACCTAAATATTGTCTATTTGTGAACAGAAGTCATAATTAATAGACATAAAAATTACCTGTGCCAAATACCTTTTCTCTTGTTTGATATGCAATTTAAACGAGAGTGGAAGCATTGTAGGTTTTGCAGAAATTCTGCACTGTAAATAAGTAGCCTGGGACTTAAAGAAGTTAATATCTTAGGCAGTTCATGTAGCTGGTGAGTTGAGTGAGTGAGACCTCTGTTGTGTGTCTGAAGACCTGTAAAACCTTTACTTCTGACCACTTTTCCTCTGCTGCCTCCTGATTTCAGTAGAACTTATTAAAATGACCATTTAGCTCAACATAGAGACTGATTCCTAAAGACTGTAATCTAGAAGAAACAAAAAGCATTCAAATTGGAATCGTGACAGATTTTACCGTATATGCAAACATCAGTTTTTGGAGTCAGTTTAAAGTATAAAGTCAAATTAATTTAATTTTTCCATTGAAAACTCAAGAAGGTGGTTGATGGTTTAAATTAGTCTTTTATTCTTACATATAGTTGTAATTAGATTTATTGATGGAAGAAATTGTCAAAGAAGTTGATGTGACCTTTTACTCTCAGTATGTTTTGACAATGTATTGAGAGAGTCAAAGTAGAGTCACAAAATTTTGTATTAAACTTTCATAAATACTTTTGATAAAAAAAGAATCATTCCAGAATAAAGGAATGTTCATGTTTATTGTTCTTTTTAACTTATTTTTGCTTCTGCATTTTACATTGTCATTTATTTGGAAGTAACTATGCCCATTCCTTATTTTTATACATTTGGATGATAAAAACTAGATTTATTTTTGAAAGGTTAAAGGCTATATTTCTCACCAGTGTTACATTATAGCACTTATGATCTCCATAAACAGTGGGAACACATGGAAGTTTTCTAATGAACAGACTTAACTTTAGTTGTTATACAGTACTTGCAAAGGGATTTCCCTGGAGATATAAAGTGCCTTGGGTTCTCTAAGCTTATTTCTTAAGAATTCGCTATAAATAAAAGTAGGTAATAAACTTTATGATTCTTTTGGATTCATTGAAGTTAACTAAGAAGATATTATGGCAAGAACCAAACTGAATTGTGGATGTGTGTGTTACTGGCAGTTGAACCCAGGGCCTTCACACTGAACTTTGAAAAAAACAAAACACGGGATCTGACTAATCATTTACTTACCCAGACTGGTCTTGAACTTCTGATCCTTCTGCCTTGGCTTCTTAGAGCACTAGAAATACAGGACCACCATGCCTGGTGTGGACCCTAATAGTCTTTAATTGACATTCTGTATCTTAGTTTTACCCTGGAAGTTTTTAGATTTTTAAACGTCAATCTAGAAATACTGATGCTAAAATTACTGAAACAGAGGAACTTCTGTAAGCTTCCAAATTCTTCCAAATATCTTAATCTCTCAGTTTTCATAATATGTTGTAAAGTGATAACTTCTAAGTGATACAAATCATGTGTGGAAAGTGCATAATAGATTCAAATAGTTGGTTTGCATTATTATTGTTACTGCTTTACAATTTACTGGTTTTATTCTATGTTAAGATGGTATTTGTTGCTTTTGTCTTTTTAGGGTCGTTGCTCCAGGGAGAACTGCAAATATCTTCATCCACCCCCACACTTAAAAACACAGTTGGAGATAAATGGGCGCAATAACTTGATTCAGCAGAAGAACATGGCCATGTTGGCCCAGCAAATGCAGCTAGCCAATGCCATGATGCCTGGTGCCCCGTTACAACCCGTGGTGAGCATGCGTTCAGCCCCGACACTGCATTTTTAATTTTTTTTTTAATTTTTTTTTTTATTTTAAAGAATAAAAGAAGGATAACATAATAATAGGGAGGACTTAGCAAATTACAGACAAAATGGTAGGAAATTATCAATGGTTATCATTTTACATATTATTGTCTACAAAATAGTTTCTCAGGAAAACAAATAGACAAATAATAATGAGTTACAGACAAAAGAGGTAGGAGATTATCAAGAGTTGTTGTACTATACTTTGGTATCTTCAAAGTGGCTTCTAAAGAAAATAAATAGAGCTATACATGAGTGACCTACTGAAAAATCATTAACTCTTCTCAATGGTGGTTGTAGGAAACACATAATAATAAACATACATCCATTTATGAAATAGAATAGGAACATTACAAACTTTACACAGTTATGGATAGATTAGTAGGAAAATATCAATGGCTGCTGTAATACGTGGTGGTATCTTCAGAGTGGTTTCTCAGGAAGACAGAGATATGCAAGAGGGACCTATTAAGGAGTTACAGCCTAAGGGTTGTCAAAAATAGCATATTACCTCCTTACCAGTGACTCCTTTTACTGAGGTATGATGGCTGGAAGGAAGGCCAGGATTGAAAAGAAGGACCGAGAGACTTGCACCTGTGTCTAGCAACAGGCTGTTTTCTTGTTCCTCCATAGTCATGATTACCCAGGACTCCTCGATGGAGATGACGGTCCGGCCAGAGGGAGAAGGCAGACCATGCCCCAAGCCCTCTCATTCCTGTTGGACTAACTGGTAGCATGGGTCTGAGCTCTGGGGCCTCCACCTCAGAGGGCAGACCGATCTCCAGTGGTCTCCTTTGCATCCAGGGCATGGCCCATGGGCCTCTTAGGGCAGTTCCTCTTGAGGTGGCCTGGCTTTTAACAGTGGTAGCAGATGAATGCAGTTGTCGAGTTCTTCTTGGAGCCCCGGGAATCAGACCTGGGATCTGTTTCTCTTAGTGGTGCAGCAAAAGCAGCTGCGTTTTCTTGGTCTCTTTGTTTTCTCTCCTTGGCCTCCTCCTCATCATGGCTATAGAATACTGAGGAGGCAATTCTTACTAACATCTCAAGTGAGCTATCTGGGGTGAAAGCCATTCTTTGTAGCTTTTTCTCTCCAGCTTCCCATTGCTTTGGGATCCCACAACCAGTTAGTGTCCTCTCCCCAACTGTCAGCACAGTCAGCAGGAATCCTGCTGCAGACTTCTCCGGAGCTCCACCACAGCCTGTACTGTCAGGGGAAGAATGGCTTCCAATGAGTCTCTGCAAGTATTGTGCAAGGTCCTCCTGGTTTACAGCTTCCGAGCGGCTCTGGGGACCCCAGTCCACAGGACCTCTGACTCCGTGGGCTTGGTCTGCATTCTCATGTTCTCTGAGTCCTTGTTCAGCAGCTGCTCCTCTGCTGACTCTGGACCTTTCTGGTTCCCAATGGCAGGAGGAAGAGTGGCCCGTTGTATGGCGTGCATTCCCAGGGGTTGTTCAAAGTTTCAATGATTCACACACATCCGTGGGTGGGCAACTGCTGTCGGTGCATGGCGGACCAATTGTGTAACTGTTTCTCTGTGTCATGATAGATCTCAATTGAGCGGCGGCGGCGGCGGCGGGCCTAAGGGCCAGCGCGCAATAGTGCTCACCGCCGCATGGCCCACCCTCCAGAATGCATTTTTAATTTTAAGTGCTCAGTTCCGGTGCTAAAATACTAATGATTCCACTAGATCAAAGGGACAGAAGAATCAGTTGCCTAATATTTTCTGGAAAACTTAAGTGTCAGTCTCTGGAACAATTTTCACACCATGAACTCACTCATCTTCTAGCTAATCCATGTGGCAGTTTATATAATGTACTCAGTATTCATTTTAAGGCTAACTTGAAAGGTAATAGTGTTTTGTTAAAAATTGATATATATATATATATGATATGCATATATATAATATGCATATATACATACAGTGTGTGTGTATGTATATATTTTTTTCTAAAATTTTAGAACATTTCTTTCTTTTCCATCACCTTGAAGAGAATCTCTGTAGTTCTCCTTTTTTTAAAGAAAACTTTTATTATTCTTTTATAGATTAAATTGAAATTACTACACTGCCACAAATGCCAGGTAATTTCTGAATTATAATCAACTGGAAAGTCTCATCAAATGGGAACTAATCAGAGAGACAGAAACTCCAAGGGCTTTAAAAAAGAGAACAAATTTGATAATCTGTAGGTGGCCATAGATATTTAATGTTTGCCAAACATTGTGTGGGATGACTCTTGCTTCATAGTACACATGCCTAGTTAACTGTTTGCTTTTTCAGGGGTGTATGTATGATAAATTAATAATCTTCTTTATAACAGTTACTGTTAGCTTGAAGATACACTATGTTGTGACATAGTAATTCTGCATTTATACTTAAATTATGTGATGAAAATTATAATGATCAGAATATATTTGTTAGTAATTATGTCACTAAAATTATATGTAGTGTTATGGAGTCATAGGAATTTGAATTTTGTTATGGTAACTGTAGTGTGTATCTTAGTTATTTTCTTATTATTGGGACACCCACACTGGACCACCCACAAGTTAAAGGAGGGAAGGTTTATTTCAGCTCACAGTTTCAGTGATTTCAGGCCATAGTTATCTGGCTGCAAGGCAGGGCAGCACAGCAGAGGGGCATTGCAGAGGACAAACAACAGTCCATGGCAGAGCAGGGCAGAGGCAGCAAGCAGCAAACCTGCCTTCTTTCTATCGATTTACATTCTGTCCGGCCGACAAGCCTATTGATTGGTGCTGCATTGCCAGCGTGGGGCTCCCTATTATCACACCCAGAACTATGATTAAGTCAGTCACTGTGCTAATCTAGTACCATGTGCCCTTAATCCCCATACACACCCTAGATCCAGCCACTTCCACAAAGCCACATCTGTGAATGCATGAGGCTTTGAGGGGAAATCTAAACATAAGCCGTAACAGGGTGTGTGCTCATTTTTTTCCTACTACAAACACTTGAACTCCATTTAATTATTATTCTGTTCTGGAACTTAATGTAACACTCACTCCAAAAAAGGGAACGGAAATCCATTTTGAGGTGGAAGGGATCTCCACATTAAATCAGAAGTGATAGTAGTTGTCAGTGCTTTAAGTTTCAAGTGAGAGAATGTTATTAATTCTGTATCTCTTTTAACCTATTTTTTTTCAATTATTGAGGCGTCATTAAAAAATGTGACTGTCTTAATTTATTTTTCTGACATTTATAATTTTATATGTGTGTATTGGGATAGCATAAAGCTTTCCATTTGATTCTTAAATTTTAATTATAATCATTCTTTCTAACAGAAAAATATAGGACAAAAGTCTTTTTTACACTTGGGACTCACATACAGTTTGAAAGATCTGGGGTGGCTACTACTTTAATTGATAGAAGATCTCTTCTTGATGTGGGATCCTTTGTTCCACTTAAACATTTAAAACATACTGACTGCCAGCCTGTGCCCTCTGTGTGACCCAGAGCACTTCTGAGACTGGCAGTGGTGGTTCCTAGTGAAGAGGGCAGCACCACTCCCAGCCTCGAGTTACTTCCTGTGACTCCTTGGCCCACACGCTGACTTCATCCAGGGACTCTGTCAGACAGTCCTAGGGTCCTGCGCGTATTTGGCATCCTTGGGCAGACATAGGGGATATTTATACTCTTTGAAATATTTCTTTAAACACTCGCAACAAACATGCTAAGTCGCTAAGTCACAGGTTTCTTAAACCATGAGAGCGCTCACCACATTTTCTGATGCTTTTGTTAGAAAATTCTCTGCATAAAGTAATTCTTTTTATTAGGTATGAGCGTATTCAGTCTTTATGTTAATTTTGTCTCACATGACTACATTTGAATGTAGAATTACCCTTCTACTAAATGTGTTTCCTATTATAATCTAAAAATATATTCTATTCAGAGTGATTTTATAATAAATATAGAAATCATTTTAATTATTCAATTTTAAAGCATTTGGAATTTTAATAATGATAGAGAAGGCTTTAATCCAGGAAATTTGCCTTCAGAATCTCACCTGAGACTTTTTGATCCTTTTTGTAGTCCGCCCTATTTTAATGAGTGTAAGAACGCAGAGATTCAGATATAAATGGGGTAGTCATTACCAGCTGCTTACTGGGACTTCAGTGGGAGCCTACAGATAGGGACAGTAAGAGAGCTCGAAGCAGCCAGGTGACTGATTTTGAAGAGACCTATCACTCAGTGAGTGATCTTCAGTACGGATGGGAGCATTTGAAGTCCTGCCAGGCTGTGCCCTTTATGGACCCACAACACCTCTGAGATCACCAGGTGTGATTAACTTGGATCCAACCCAAACAGTGGTAACAGCAACATCAAAGGCGGTGATAAAGTGGCCAATCTGTAGCATCAGGAGTATGTGAAATATACAAGTAGTCACAAGGCTTGGGGTCAAGCAGGTGACACCATCTTTGTTGTCTAGGGCAAACCAGTTTGGACTCCAAATTTAGCTGAAGGAACGGAAAGGGTACAAGGATAGGGTGGCAAAATCTCAGCAAATTTGCAAGCAACTAGCATTGTGCCTGATACATATCAGGAGTCAATAACTGCATGATGAATGAAAAAACAAATGAAGGATAGTTTTTCCCAAACACCAGATAAAAGAGGCAGAGGTTCATAGTAGCTTCCTTGCCCTAGAGACCAGACGAATCGTGACGTGGAATGAGAGCACAAGCCCACTTACCAAGACTGCGTAGAAAGGAGCAAGTGGTGGATACAGATATGTAAGTGGTGCCTCAGTTCATGAACACTTTAGTTTGTGAACATTTCAGTTCACAAAAAGAAGCATTTTGCAAAATTTTGTTTTTATTTGTGAACTCTGCATCTGGTGATGAGCATAACAACAGCCATCCTTTTGCATGAACACAAATGTGACCATTTTCCCCAGAATTGTGGAACGAACTAAGTTCATGAACTGAGGAAC